TACATGCTGGTGCGTCACACTCATGTACATGCACGTATAAAAAGTACCACTATTAACATAGTATTGGTAAAAAGTGAGTAGCAGTGTTTTTACAAATAAGTTTGGAGGTTAGACTTCAGTCTTCGAGGGACAAGAGGGGACGCATGTAATTATCCAAGCGTTTTTCGTATAATTGAAGGAAAGTGCCCTCCACGACTGACTGCGGGAGGTCGTTCCACTGTTGTATGGCACGTTGCGTGAATAATTCTGATCGGAGGTTGAGCTTGGAGATCTTCGTGCGCAGCTTCATTGTGTGCCCACGGGAATAAGGCGAGAGGTGCTACTGAAACATGTCCTCAAAGCGCAATCCTTTCTCAAGTCCGTTAATTATCTTGTAAACTAAGATAAGATCTCCTCTTTTTGCCCGTAATGCAGAGGGAATAAATGTGGGCATGCCAGTCTATCTATGTAAGAGTGCTTCTTAAGACCTCTTACTAGCTTTGTTGCCCGGCGCTGCACTTTCTCCAGACATGTTGAGTCTTTTGCTACCCATGGCCTCCACGCCTGTATGCCATATTCTAGGTGTGGTCGAATGAATGTACCATACGCTTTTCCAAAGAGATCTTCGTCGAAGTCTAGAAACGCCCTTTTTATAGCGTGTAGCACCCCCCGTGGCTTAATTTTCAGCTTTGGCACATTGTAACGAGGGCTTCAGATTGCTCTGTATCCAAATGCCGAGGTCGTTCTGTGAAGGTTCGACGGGAATTGGACTATTTTTCAGGTGATATGTCCTCATGCTCTGGGTGTGGGGTTGTTCGTTGAACGCAGGTAGAGGACGGCACACTTTTGTACATTGAAATCCAGGAGCCATCTTTCAGACGACGTCTGCAGTTTGCATTGATTATTTTGCAGAGCTTCTCAGTCGCTCGGCCGCTAAATGATCTGCCAGAGCCTAACGTCATCGGCGAACTTGATTTTACCGCAGTCCAGTTCTTGAAGGCTGTCATTAATATAGAGAATGAAGAGAAGGGGACCGAGAACGGAGCCTTGAGGTACACCACTAACTAGGTCCACCCAGTCCGATTTATCCCTCTCGATGCAAATGCGTTGTTTTTGACGACCAAAAATGTCCTAATCCAGTCCAAAAATTTCCCCTTGATGCCAAGAATGCTCAGTTTACGTAAAAAACGTTGATGGGGCACGCTGCCAAAGGCTTTGCGGAAATCTATATACACTACGCCCACTTCGAAGCCCTCTATCAAAGCATTTGTCCAGGCCTCAAGTGAAGTTAGCAAAATTGAAAGGCAGGAGCGCCCTCGCCGAAAACCGTGCTAGAAATTCTGTATGATGTCATTTTCATCGCAAAATCTTAGTATGGCCTGCTTGACAAGGACCTCCATAATTTTGCAGGGAAGGCAAGTCAAGCTTTTAAACCGAAAGCTGTTTGCAGCCATCTTGTTACCTCCCTTATATAACGGTACGATGTTGGCCGTCTTCCACTGCAAAGGCAAGTCCCCTGTTCTCATGGAAATCTCGAACAGAAAATGAAAGAGGCACCGATAACTCGATCGCGACTTCTTTGTGTATCAGTCCAGGGATCCCATCCGGTACAGGAGACTTTTCTGGTTTGATGTGACTGAGGACGTGTCTTGCGTCTGCAACATAAAAGGTAACAGTTTCAATGACGGCTGTATCTTCGCCCATGACTTCTCCTGGATTGTCGTCGGGGGATTCCATCGTAAACGCCGATCTCAAAAACTCGGACAGTAACTTTACTTTCTGTGGTCCTTCCGTTTACACGTTCCTGAGGTTATCCCTTAGAGTTGCAATGTCGTCCCGGTGCTTCTTTTGACTGCGGATGTATCCATAAAACTTTTTTGGACATATTGTGACTTGTGTTGTTAGTTGACGCTCAAAGGCAGTTCTAGCAATTCGTATTTCCTTACGGCATATATTTCGTTGCGCTTTATATTGGCAAGTGATGTTGGATCTTGAAGATTCACGAACTTGTTCCACTGCCTTTGTTTCTTCTCTATGGTTCTTTTTATCGTCCAGTTGACCCATGGAGGTCTGGCACATGGTCTAATTACTTTCATTGGACAATAGACTTCAATTCAGCGCTCTACAGTTACATGGATATGCAGCTCTAATTAATTGGTATTGTTCGTATTGAATAACCAGTTTTCTGCTGAAGCGGTTCGTCTCATTGCTTAAAAATCAGCTCTCCAAATATTTCTGCGCCTCTTTATTTGCGAGTTTGGAGACAAGGGAGAACACACGCAGGTATAGGCAACGTGGTCAATTAACCCAATTGGCGGCTGTGAGTTCACTTCCCTTATGACCCCCTCCTCTTTACTAGCTCTTTACGAGCTCTAGACAGTTTGATCGCTGGCCGTCTCACAGCCGCGTTGTGAAGTCTATGTGTCGAATGAGATATTTGTCCAAAGAAAACTGTAGTAAATTATATATATGTTTATAATGCAAGTTTACAGAAAAATTTAAAGAGTTGGTAAAGCACCTCGTGGGCGCCTTCCAAAACCTCGAAGACAGGAAAAAACCTAAAACAAACTCCCTCTCGGCGCCTTCCAAAACCTCGAAGACAGGAAAAAACCTAAAACAAACTCCCTCTTTTGCAGTCACTACTGCTTTTGTTGAAATTTTGTGTTTTGTCAATACTGGGCGAGATAGGGAGTATGTTTCAAGTGAAAAAACCTGACTTCGAAGGTATGATACAAAGGGAATATATGTACAGTTGTAAACTGAGTTGAAACATCAGCAAGAGAAAAGTTGCATATCGTTTAGGGACATTAATTCGGGATGGGGAGGGTTGGCACAAGAACTTAGTGTTCTCAGCTTTCCTTCCATGGTTGTCGGCAAAAGTTGCGCGCTATCGGCTGAAGGGTTAGCAGATTGCG